GAAGGAATACTAGTATTATCCAAACACTCCCTGCTCTGTACATTTGGGCTCTGGAAAGCCTGGCTGTCTCACAGGGGATTTTTAGTTACTTTAAAAAAAATAAATAAAAACCAACATGAAAAACCAAATATGAAATGGAGAAGCATTCAGGTTTTCAGTTTGCAGCTCAAATCCTTTGTGAGCAATTATTCTATAGTAAAATCTTGCAGCATAGGGTGGGGCAGCTCCTTACCGTCCCTTTTGGTATTTCCTTTGTCATTTGATACGTTAGCGCCGCTCATACATAATCATTAAAAATAGAAGGCTATGGAGAATTTCTGGAGAACCTCACAGGCTAAACTTTTTCTCAATTCTGTTTTATTTGAGAAGCAGGAAAGCAAATTAGATTGTCAAATGGAAATTACCTGGAAACAAGAAAATTATTTTCAGGATAATTCCCCAACCATAAGGTATAATTGAGCAGACTTTCTGTTGTGTAATATAGAAAGTGGCCACAAGACATATTTCTACTTAGTCTGAAATGCAACTATTTATGGAGATTAGTTAAACACTTAACATTAACTAGGACAAGTAGGGAACAATCACACATTTTAATCCCTAGAAAGTCAGTGTTGATTTCATGTAACATAAGTTCCCAGATTTGCTTATACACTATGATTCTTGAGAATCATGCTTATTATACTTGCATTTAGATACACTGCCAATCCACAAAAGAGAAGAGACACAGGAAAATAGGAAGGGACCTCCTGGCTCATTGAGTCCATCAAGACTATGTACACACACGTGACCATAATCAGAAATATGTTCAATAACATGCTGGGTGGTGGGATACCTGACATAAAGCTGAAATGTTCTAGCTAGCTTGCATGCATCACATAGCAAAAAGGTGGAATGACTACTTTTTAGGTGAAGAAAGAAGTTGCAGGCACTTAAGTCCTACTGTAGCAAAGCTTGCAAGTATATCCTTAAACCCTGAATTCTCAACCACTCTAAAATTAGGTTTCAGCTGATAGGAACCAACATTATTTTTTGAAAATTAACTTCTCCTTTATGGTCTCAGTTCAGCAAAGCACTTCCAGAGGACAGCTTGTAAGCTTAGTGTTGAGCACGTGCTTACATACTTTGGGGGAGCTACTGGATTGATGGTAATAGAAACTGAATTGCTGTGTTTAGTCCATGATACAGATAGAGTAGCACCTCCCTTTGGAGGGTGAGAGAGTAGTTTGTTCTCAAATGCATGTTCTGTCATTGGCCTTGCTGTTGGGAAGTCCAACAAGAGTGCCGCTTTATGCTAATTTTGAGGGCTTTTTTTTTGTGATGCACCTGACTGTTCACTTTGGTAGTGTGAAAATCACCAGCTCGGGAACCAGATGATGGCATCTTTTGGTCACTACCAGTTAGAGTTAGGTTCAAGCTAGTGGTCTGTTTGGTGTCCCATTATCATTACTATTTTTAATAAATATAAAAAGGAAACAGTTATAACCCAGAGCTGTCTTTTCATTCATGAGGAATATTCTATACACTCTAGCAGCAATGCACTTTCCACTAACTAATTAAATTATGTTAAAAGTAAAATTGCAGATGCCAGTCAAGCATATGTTTTCTAACATGTAACAAATGCTTATTTGTGCTTTTCTTTGCAAGTGTAATATAATATAACTGCTTGTAACTGTTTAAATTCAATTTTGCACACATCTTCCAGCAAGCAGCACATGGTTTTTCTTTATTTTTAATGATCCAGACATAAAATATCAAATGCAATTAGAAAAAATATATGGGAAAAAAATGGGCAAAGAAATTTTGAGTTTATTATATGCCAAATACCAAATTAAATATTTCTCTGGCATGTTGATTTTTATTTTGAAATGACCGTAATTTGAAGCTGCCCGGGGTAATGGAATGTTAGAGCCCTGCTCCATAGAGAAGTAAATCAATGGGCAGTGTACAAAGGAGCTAAAATAATGTGCTAAGTGGAATTTACCCCACGCTGAGCAGCGTATTGCCTTGGTCTCACTTTCAGATATTGTCACATGCATCTGGACAGCTACCTATGCAGTAGCAAAGTTAAAGTTTCAAAATTTGCAAACTTTAGCAATTATAAATTTGGAAACTTCAAGCACGTTGTATGTCTTACACAAAAATACTGTGCACTGGCTATGTTTTTTCCTACTGCTATAGCTTTTCATCTTGGATAACTAGCTAAAGGCCAAAGGAAAATTCCCAGTCTGAACATTTGGATCCGGATCTGATCTTTCATAGATTTTAAGGCCATAAAACACCGTTCGTTTTGATCATCACCTTTGGCTTCTGAGTCCTTTGAGCACCTTTTGTTCTTTTCTGAAATTAGCCTAGGACTGTGTAGGTAATGCTTATATCTGAATGTATACTTGATAATTGACTGTCCAATGCCTAATTGGGAAATGCAGTGAAAAACTGATTTTTATTCAGACCTAGCAAATGCTCCTCTTAAAGTCCTTAGTCAGACTTACAGACATGCCTGAAATCAAGCTTTATATAACTGATTTTGCTGTAGTTTTCTATGGTGGGGACATCATGATATGGTTACTTTTTTTTTTAATAGGAAAAAGTTTATTGCTGCATCTTATTGAATTAAAATGGACTGAAGGAAGTCAGGCCAAACTCTAAAAGAAATAATCTTTCAGCAATAATTCTACATGGAAAAAACAGCTTCCAGTGTGATTGAAGAAAAGAAAGAAAGATGTTGGTGGGATTTGCAAGGCACTATAAGCAGCCGTGTGCCCAATTCCCAATGAAATTCAGTGAGAGTTGTGGCATAATGCCTTAGGCTCATTTGAAAATCCTAGCTGTGAACATATGAAAGGAGATGGCTATTTATACATAGTTTTGCAACTATATAGGCAACTAGATGAGATGCAGAGGGCACTATCATACGGTCTCCTGAAACAATACCATATGTATGCATGCAGGTATTGGATATTGCAAAGCTTCGATCCCTAATTCAATTCAGTGGCTGAATCTCCAAATCTGAATCCAATCAGAGGACCCTTTAATTTCTCTGAATTGATGTGGAAGCCTCCAAATCGATTTGGGCAGATTTGGCAATTCAGACACAGATACAGCTTTAAAGGTTTTTTTCTACATACCTGTAGGTAGCAGGGGCTCTGAATGCTGTGGTGTTGGGGCAGATGCAACATCCCACAGAAGCATGGGGGGCTCTCTAGCGCATTTAGCAGCAGACCCGGAAGTGGACCAGAAGCACTTCCGGTCCACTTCCTGGTTCACCAGGAAGCACGCAGGACCTTCCCCCTGCGCCCCCCGGCTCAGCAACTGGTGCCTCCTGGGTCTGAGGAGGCACCTGGCATCCCCCTGCAGCTGATTTGCTGAGCCGGGGGGACACAGAGGGGCCCCCAGCATGCTCCTCAGCAGACCCGGAAGTGGACCAGAATTACTTCTGGTTTTGCTGCCGAGCATGCTGGAGAGGCCCCCATGCCCCTGTGGGACGCTCCATCCGCCCCAACATCACAGCAATCACGAGCCGTGCTACTACCTCAAGGTATGTAGAAAAAACTTTTAAAGCTGTGCCTGTGTCCGAATTGCTGATTCACCGAATCAGCATCGAATCTTCAGATTCAGCCTAATTGAATCGGGGACAGTGATCTGAATCAACGAATCGAATTACCATTCCCAATTTGGGCCAAATCTGAATCAAATAGGGCCCGTTTTGCACAGCCCTACTGTTTAGCAACTACTTTATCTATAGAAACAGGCCATACTTTGGATGATATAGTGGAAGCTTGTTGTAGGGAAGTGACCATAAACACATGTATTGTAACTGGTAGTTTAACAGTGAAAGGATTGATGTACTAATTATTGACAATAAATATTGTCAGAAGTATGTGCTGGCCCTGGGGCTCATTGTGCATGCAGCTCCTGGGGCCAGGATGGGGCATGTGCTGCCTGTATTGCATGGTCTGGACCTGGTGCTGCACACGGCACAGAAGGTCTGGGATATGAGCTGCATGCAGTGCCCCAGACTGCCTCTAAGTGCTGCTTGCAGCACACCTGTTGAGGGGTGCAGCCCATGCTCCATGTGTCTCCAATATGGCTCTATGGGCCGGGTCTGGGCCATGGGCTGTATGTTTGATGCCCCTGCTTTAGGGCATAGTCTGCCACCACCTACAGGGAAATGGAATTTCAGAGGCAGTCCCAGATTTTTCTAGAAAAGATCATAAGGCCCTCCGTGTTCAAGCTGCCTCACCCCTCCCCTGTAAGGCAGTTTGAGCACCCAGTTATGAAACTTGGTCATGTCTGTACCATGCACTTACCATGCCAGGCGACAGCTGCTCCACTTGTACTACCTCTAAATCCAGACATACTGTAGCCAGAGTATTATGGTGCTCTGGGTGGTCATTAGTCACAAAGTGTTTGAATGTGCTCCTACCTAGACTGGTAAATTTGAGGTACAGACATGCTCTTAAATGTCCTACCTGAAGCACCAAGTGGAGCCATGAATGTCTTGAATTGTTTTGTTGAGAAGTTCTTAGCTTAATGCACACAATCGCCAATGCCCTCTGGGCATACCATCTTCTACTCTAAGTAATTAATTTTTTAAAAAAGGTGCGGGGGCAGGGGGAGGAGGAAGCAAAGCTCTATAATGACATTCAGTAACCACCATCATGATTGCTCTGTTTATAACTTGTTTCCTTTCTTCCTCACTTCACCCCTCATTTCCCTTGACTGTTTAGATTATAAACTTAAGCTGGAGGGCAGGGTTTGTCTGTTATTGTGTTTGTACAGTGCTTAGTACAATGAAGTCCTGACCTGGTTTGAAGCTTTTAGGCATAACTGAAATACATACACAGTGGGAACAGTAATGTTGAACTGGATTACAAATAGTAATAATGAACATTGAAGAGTACCATTAACCTTTCCAGGGTTGCTCTCCTTCTTCATTTCATTGGGAGCAGCTGTTCAAAGAGTGGGAATAATGACTGTCTATTTTGTTTCTTGTCACGCAGTGTTCTGCAGAATGTGGTGATGGAATACGAACGCGCTCGGTAGTTTGTATGACCAACCATGTCAGCAGTTTGCCGTTGGAGGGCTGTGGGAATAATCAACCTTCTGAAACAACCCCCTGTAACAATGGACCCTGTGCGGGTAAAGTTGAGTGGTTTGCTGGGAGCTGGAGTCAGGTACATTTTACATTAAAATAGATGTTTTTATGTTGATTGCCAAAGATTTCTTTAGAGTGGGAAAGTTCTGGTTGGGTGCGCTATCCTGTAAATGTCTCCCCTTAAAGTATTTTGAGAAATGATTTTTAGGTTCCATTCAGCTGATTTTCAGTATTTTTTCCCCTCTGCTTTTATTTTTACCAGACCATTTGCAGGAAAATAAAGTCGTTTTGTTTCTCTAGTGCTTTACTTTTTCTTCTCAGCTAAAGACATAGTACCAGATTTTGTCCCCTTTGTGCCACTGCAACAGAGTAGCTGGGGACTCCTTGCAGAGGAGACATACAGTAACATAACCAGATTTATGCCACCTGTTGCCTCCTCCATGTAGAGATTTCTGTTAACAAGCGTAACATGAATCAACCTTAGGTTGAGAATTTACGTCAGGCTTGTTTGGTCCCAAAAACAGAAGAACAGAAAAGAGGTTTAAAGCTACCCATCACTCCAAATCTAGGTATCCCCAGGGTCTTGCCCACAATAGTCCGTTTAAGCTAAGTCCTAATCAATACTATACAGGTTTCAAACTGGAAGTGAAAAATAAGCAGCAACACTTTTGGAAACAAACTTTTTTTAAGGAAGTGTTTCTTGCCTAAAGAGAGACAACCTACAATTCAGGATATATTGACAGAAATATTTTTGAATGACGTTTTTACACGAGCCTTTGGGTTGTTTTAGTATTAAGTCTTGTTCAATTTGTCCAAAAAACCTGTCCCTAAGTTCCAGTGCAATACTACTATCCCACAGTGTCACTGCCAGTTCATGGGACAGGAACACAACTCAAACAATTAATGACACTAGTTAAGGTTAATGATGGAATTAAATGTGGAAGACTTTCTCTACTTCCAGTTTAAAGGAAAATCTCTCTATCAAGGCCCAGCCTACAATAATTTTTTTGCTTGCATACCTATATTGTTAAGAGATGCGATACTTTGCTGATATATTTGTACCAGTAAAACCTTGTGGGAGATGCAGTTATACCAGCAGAACGCCCATGCTAGCTTGCTTCACACTGCTGATTTGAAACAAGCAGTACTGGTAGAAGTATTTTTACGATTGTATAACCGCATCTACAACTGTGAGATTTTTCTGCTTTAATTTTGCTTAAGTATAGGCAAGGTCTTAGCCTTCTTATTGGAGTTTGCATGAATTCTGATCTAAACCAGCAAACATCATACATTATGTGTTGATCCAGTTTCCTCATGAAAGATGTCAGAAAGCTGTGGATGCCAGTTATGGCATTCAAGAGAAGCCAAATACTCCAAAACATTGTATTCTCCTCTTTGGACTGTTCATTGCAGAGCCATTGCAAATTCTGAATGTCTGCAGGGATGCATACAGGTCACAGCCAAAGCATTAAGCATGAGAAGACAAAAGTACTGCTAAAAACAAAAGTTGTTTTTGGTTTGGCTCCTCTGAGTTTTGACGTGACAGGTGAAGAGAACAAAATTGGGCCAGTGGCCAGCTCCCTGGTGCTCTTTTACTAAGATAAACCTCCCCTTGTCCTAACATCTCAGTGTTTCTTTTCATTCCAATTGAAAAGTATTGCTCCCAGTGGGGAAGGAATTTCAGATGTTGTCAACTGGGGCCCAAACATTTATATTGCCTTTGTGTGGACCCTTACATAACCTCGAGAGGCTTTCCAAGTGCTGGTACCAACCTTCCATCCAGCTATTAGGAACATGTCTTTTGGCCAGGCCTTCGGTTTTGCCGTAGCAGAGATTCCAAGATCCTCCTAGCTGATAAGCGAAGCTGAGGTGGAAATTAAAGGGATCCAATTCTGAAAATACTTTAAAGTTGTGAAACACAGCAGAAACGTGAATTACTGGTATGTTATAAGAGTCACAACAAACTCGAACTGTAATTTTAACCATGTTTATGAAGAGTACTCTGTGCAGATAGAAGCTTTCCATCCATTCCTATCTCCCCTGAACAGAAGGGAGCCAAATGTTGTTTTCAAACTTTCTTGTGCTTGAACAGCTTGCAAATATCATCTTCTTCCTCTGAGGGGGTCAAAATGTATATAGTAAATCTAATCATTCTAGATCTGCACATTGCTCCACTCACAGGCTTCTGGCTGTCAGCAATGAGTTGTGCATCTCCAGGTGATAAAGGCATTTTTTAACATTGCATCCAGATTACAAAAATGCAAGGATCTGCATTTAACCAGATATGACACCCTCCGATATGTAGTGTGTTAAAGTCATGGAAAACAACGATGGTGAAGTCAAGGAGGGACGCTGGGGTGGGAAGAGCCCTCTAACAGATTTAAGGAAAGGAGTCTAGAAATACCATGGAAAATGAATTGATTCTTCTTCCCTTGTTTCTTCTTTCAGAACAGCCCAATCCTTAAACATAATAGGTGGCAGCCAAAAGGTATTATGTGGAGTAAAGTAATTATTGAGGGCTGCTAGAAGAGCGGGAAGCAAGCAGTGACGTTTCAACCTGGGGCTTCATTTTCCAATATTGTACAGCTAGCTTGAACCTAGAAACAGGCAAAAACACTCTTCCAACTACAATAAAGGACATACAATGAATGCACAAAAAGAACTATTATGCAGATGATACTTAAATAAAATAAGGAACTCATAGCTTTTAAATACTGAACTGGTTTGGATAACTTTGCCCAAATCTCAAACTAAACCTGAATGAACTTTAAATGTGGTAGGTTAATTTTTGTCTTGTGTATGCATACATATTTGCACAATTCAACCCTGCAGAGTTACAGTCAGCATTAGAAGCATGATCACTTATCTTCATGAGCAATTTTTTTTTGTATGTCACAGTTGATATAAAAGAGTACCAGCAATCACATTGGGAAGCTTGTTTTCACAACATTGAGATTTCATTGTTGCTCGTTAGTTGTCACTGTCTGTAAGGAGTTATATTTTCACCTCTGTGAAAACAGATATCCAACAACAAACCCTGTTAACAGAGTGCTAAGAATTAATCTCTTTTATTGCTAATTTTCAGTGGCCTTCTATGGGGATCTTATCGGTAAGTCTGCAGTGTTGTTTTAGTAAGCCAGTTTATCTTTCCATAATAAATTCTGTCTGACTATACAAACACAGCCACCTCTTACCTTGTCACAATGTAATCCCATACAATTCAAGAACTGCAGTAATATTAATGTCATTTTTAATCCATACAGAACAAGTTGTTTTATTCTGGTCTATAATCATATTTTAACCACTTTATTTTCAGTCCTTATCATAAATTCTCTGACCCACTATCACATTTTTGATTGAGATCATATACGTGTTACTAACTTTTTACTTTATTAAAGTTGGGGCCTAGTTACAGTTAATTAAAATCTGTTCTAAAATTAATCTTTTTTTTCTGATTCCCCTATGTCCTGATTAAGAAAGCATCTTTCTGTTAAAAAGTCACTGTTTTAAACAGTTATTTATCTTGTTTTGCTCTGAGGCCACATGTTGTCCTGAGAACATCTAGCGGTGGAAAATCTGCCTGGAAAAGCTTATTAGAGGACAAGTGTCTCCTACTAACAGGATCATAGCACAGACACTCGCATGTATTAGCCAGTGAAGGGAATACAGTCAAGGCTCCTCTAGAATTTTTAACAGACTGTTAAAGCTGCCCTCTTCTGGAAGAAGAACTGAAATAAGACAATGATAAGAATGGGCTTAGTGGCAGAAGATGCAGCTGGTGTTTCCCCTAGGGTTTATTCTGTGCAAGAGCAATTTGGTTCTGTTCTTCCTGATAAGAGCATGACACCATGCCTATTGCTGCACTGCTAAGGGGTGCTTGCAGCATCTGTGCTGCAGGTTCTAAGCTATATGGTTCTGAGCTTTTGGTAATTTAAAACCAGGTCTCTGCATATGGTATTGAAGATGTCTTAGGTACACAGTGGGTGTGTCCACACATTCATTAATGCACTATAGTTACTGCACATTAAGTTTAGTACTTGGTTAACCAAGTACTAAATCAATGTGAAGTAACTTGAACTATTGCACAGTAGCACTGGTGCACAGGTTTTTGGCGATGATTACTACGCAGTAGTTTAATACTACTGTGCAGTAGCATATTAGCATGGTTTTTGCCCATCACGCTGCTGTGCAGTGTTATTAGGCTATTGCACAGTTAGCATCTTATGTAGACATGCCCAGTATATTAATTTTCTCCCTATGCCCAGTTCCTTTTCATTAGTACCAAGAGTTTTATGGGTATCTGGTCAAGGGACAAAAAATTACACCCAAAATATAAACAAACCCCACATTTTCAATAACATTCAATTGTTTTAGATCCAGATAAGCCTTTGAAAATCATACTTTTTCTTGCAACATAGAAACCAATTTGTCACTGGAATCATCTTCCAAAACCTTTCAAAAAGTACCAGGAACAGTATCATATATGTATTTAACCTTTACAGAAGCAGTAAGAGTCCATGTGAGCCAAATTTGCATTTCAGAACTGGATCCAACACCCCATCACATAGATGCATGTAAACATTAAAAGAACACATTGACAGATTCAGATGGTTTCTAAAAACCACATAGACTGTAAGGATTTACAAAACTGCACTCCAACTTCAGAGGTTTATGCATATAATACTACTTGAATTAGAGGCATTAATCACTGATTGTAGTAAAATGCCCTCCCCTTTGCTAAAAAAAAAAGAGAAAAAGAAAGGATTCAAACACAGTTTGAGATTTCTCCAGGAGTGGTGATAGCAGTTGTATCAATTATTTTTCCCTTCATCAAGAAAGTACAAGAATCAATAAAGGCATACTATACAATCATAGGAAAGTAGGGTTGAAAAGGACCATGCAAGGTCATCTAATCCACTGCCTGCCTCAAGACGGGATCATCCCTGATTAAACTTTCCCATTCAAGTGTCTGTCCTTAAAACACTGCTTTTTAAAAAGAAATAAATAAAAGTCCAGGGATAAGGATTCCACAACTTTTGTAGGTGGCCTGTTCCAATACTTGACCACCCTCATAGTCAG